TCAAGCCGACGGTTAACGGAAAGAGAATGAAGCACGTGGTCGGCTGCTCAGAGCTCCTACATGCCTGCTGACGAACCCAGAATTCCCCTCGAAGTTTCCCACAAAGGCAGGGGGGCTAAGGATTCAGGTGGAGAGCCAAGCAGTGACCCTTTTCTGTTAAACGTGGGTGAAACATCAAGCGATCTGCCATTGTTTCCTCCTTGGTCTTTCTCTAGGACCAGGAATGCTTCAGAAACTGCGGTGAATCCTGTGGATGTTCGTCGTGTGCTGACGACTTGGGGATTGTTAACGAGCTAAAACTTGCTATTATTTTTTATTTATTAAGCCAGCAGACAGAACTGCCCAAGCCTGAACGGCTCCCCAGAATCCAATTTGAAAGCAAAAGAACTGTGGTGTCCTCAGCATCTGATGCGAGTACGACTAATAAACATTCGGAGAGACCTGCATCGGAAGCTTTACCCTTGATTTTAACAACAATTTCTTTTAGCAGATTCTGGTCCATAAGGACGTTTAGTATCTTTATTGCTGTTGGCTGTATACAGTAAGATACACAAACTTTATTTCTTGTCCCTGTCGAGCAGGAGCTTGACTGATCGTCTACTAGCTTGATGTGCCCTCCGTTATGATGCTGTCTGCAGTCAGACACAACTTTTCAAACCATGTTATGGAGTTTATTTGGCGATAAATGGCAGCAAGTCAACACAAAGCATGATGAGAGCCTAAAACACTCCCCCCCCAGCACCAACGGCAGGTAGTACGCAAAACAGACGAGGAGACGTCATCAAGAGTGAGACAAACAGGGGTCGGCCAGCCCTCGGAACGTGAAACTGCACATAATTGCTGAATGTGGTTCAACATCACTAATCAGGGAAACCAATTCCATAGCTAAGCAAGAGAGAACTCTAAACAAACAATTAGATTGGCAAACAATATTATATTGTGACAGGTGACAGAGGGCAGCATGGCAACCGCAGGGCGTGATCCCAGCCCCTTCATTAATTATCCTCAACTGAGCTGCTAACTGAACATGACTGAACCCACGCTAGATATATATGAGCCAAAACATTATGACCATCCCCATACGAAGGGAATAATGCTGGCTATCTAGTACAAATGGTGTTGGAATATATTAGACGGTAAGTTAAAATTCTGTTCTCATAGTCGACAAGTTGAATGCAGAAGAAATGGGAAGGAATAAAGACCTGAGTGACAGTAGCCAAATAATAGCTAGACACCTGGGTCAGTGCATCTCCCAATCAGCAAGTGCTGTGGGGAGCTCACAGTCAGCTGTGGGGTGCTCACAGTCAGCTGTGGGGTGCTCACAGTCAGCTGTGGGGAGCTCACAGTCAGCTGTGGGGCGCTCACAGTCAGCTGTGGGGTGCTCACAGTCAGCTGTGGGGAGCTCACAGTCAGCTGTGGGGTGCTCACAGTCAGCTGTGGGGAGTATCGACTGAGAGCGGACTGAGGAGAGAAAAGCCACATCTGTTATTATAATAAATTAAGTTTTATTGATTGTAAAATTGATTGTTTCACAGCAAAATAAAAAAAAACAAATTTAGCAAAAATGTATTAGTAATTTATTAAATTTTTATTTGCGAATGCTCACAAATTTTTTTAATTTTTAAAAAGCCCATAGCTATTTATCAATTCACCTAAAAGGAAAAAAATAATAGCAGCGAGAGACGTGAATACGGTTTGACGTAATGGCTCAAGCCATTTCACCGACAGCTCGACAGGGCGGCATTCGTTAGGAGCCCGGCCCGGTGTGGAACCGGGATCAGAGATTGAAACCACAGGTTTAAACCGCGTCGACGCCACATTCCGCCAATCTGCCCATCTGCACACGCCATGTGCTGACAGGGCTGCTCTACATATACACACATCAAACTGCTCCAATTCCAGCGCACTCAGAAGGCCAAAATTACGATAAGGAGGCGTCCCCCGGAAAATGACAAACTGAGGTTGGCCGCAAGGCTCATTACCTCAAACTCCCCATTGCAGGTTTGCAGATGGAACGTGGGCTTCCAGACTCTTCCGGAGCTTCTGACACCATCCACAGGAAAACTCCTTTAAAAACCAGCTAACTATTCCCTGCTCACTTCCAGTGCTGACTTTATACGAGCTATAAAACCCTACATCTGTTAGCGCCACATACGTGATTCTCTGGATTTTATGGCACAGTTGTGTTCCTGGGTCTCCTATTTGCAGATCTTTAAAATCCCGGCCACATTAGTTTAAGAGGTGACAGATTATTGTCCGCATGTGTGACGCATTATTCCGCAGATGCCGGTCTGAACTGCGGACCAGGCCATGTTTTTTTTTCTCTCTTCCAGATACCGATGTGGATTAGCAGGCATTTATGCTATTTTCAAATGTGAATAAGGATAATGGACAAATGACCTTTTGTCCTCTCCCTGGACCCACAGATTGTTTTTAAAGCAGCTAACTAGCATTAAGCTAATTAGAACGCTTAAAAGGCTGTGGTGAAACTCATTATGTAGCTTTAGTGGATGTTTTAACTGCTAATTCTGAAGATGTTCTATCTCGTCCTTCAATGTAAACATTACACGGGTCACGATGCCCCTGGTCACGTTACGAGACCAGGCAGATCCTAAGAGGTCAAGTGCTGAATAGTGAATAAACTAAAAAACTTGTTTAACTTCAGGCAACACTTCAGGGCTATGGTGACATTGGCTCAGTGGGTTAGACGTCTGGGCCTGAGATCAGAAGGTCACTGGGTCCAATCCTGTCCTCACTGCATAGTCACATGACATCTGGGCCCTTGAGCAAGGCCCTTAACCCATCCCTCAAAATGCTCCAGGGGTTGCATCTAAATAGCAGACCCCAAGCTTTACTTTTGTGTGTGTTTCAAATGAGAGCATGATGGGATATATGTAAATAAGCACTCCATTGTAACTGTACTTGTAAAAATGAAGCATCATCGTAAACTATTACTTGCCATTTTCACTAAATTCCCATTTTTCCAAGAGCTCTTAACTTTTGAACTAACAACAAAAACGGGATACCTAATTTTCCATCCCTATAAGGAAGCCTTCAGTCGACACTGAAATGTTTGCTAAGTAATCATAAAAGTAATTAAGCGTTCTGCAGAGTAAAGGGCGTAGCGCAGATGGGGGAGATCAGGACGACGCGGAGCCCTGTGCGTAACGCGGCCGCTCGCTGACGCACTCAGCCGCGCAGGGCGCCCCTCCTACGTGTGGAAACGTGTGTGCAGAATCTCTCTTTAAGCGCCCGGTGTTTTAATTGTTCCTGTCTGTTACGACTGAGCCTCGGGGGAGGGGGGGAAATGGGGGGTTACGGCGGTGCGAGAGCAGCAGAGCACAGCTCCCGGGTACACACGCTTCAGGAAGCATAATAAAGCATCTCTTTATCTCTCCTGGGGATCTGCTCACCCCAATTACGTGCCTGACATTTCTCTCTCTGTCTCTCCTTGCTGGGGCTGGGATCACACGGAAAAAGTGGGCGGGGCTCAGAGGTCTGCTGATGAATACCTGCTTTCTCCCTCGTTTCAGATGCAGTTGGGGCAAGAGTGAGGTGTGCTTGAGAATCGTCAGATCGACAGAAATTTCACTTCACACAAATCATGCTGTTACCTAACCTAGGCAAGCCGTCACATGGTTTGTTCATTTTTAGGTTATACCGGTACCTGGATATGCCAAAAATACAATTAAGTCATCACGAAGACATTCAGAAACAACTCTAAAATGGGTATGTGACATGCAGGTTATATTAAAGTGGGGGTTATCCTTCAAAATCTAAGGAAATACAGGCAAATGACCATCAGAGACA